TCCAAGATAAATCAAATAATATTTCAGCAGATGCTTGTGAGTCAAGGAGTATATGTCTTCATTTTACAGACAATTTTAAGACATTCAAGTTCTTATAGTCCTAAAAACTACGCCTAGTTACTAATGTTGTACTGTTGTTACAAGTTAGTAATGTTTTGTGTAATTCTATGAAGAAAAATAACCTCTTACTTGAACCAAAAAGGGTATAAAAACCATGTGAGTTTTGCAGACTCTGGGCTAAAGTAGCTGATACTAACATAATTGTGCCCATAACGTGGATTTAGAGGAAATGTCAAATATTCATTTAAAAGAAGGGATATGTTGTGTTCAATATTTCTGCAAATGGACCGTCACAGAAGTCAAAGTAAACGATAAGATCGCGATTAAGATTAGAACAACTGAATGTTTTGTGAAACTACAAGACATCGCTAGTGAATGTCGAACAAAATCGTTTATTTTAAGCATCTGGGACTTATAAAGAATGGACTATATTTCAATCACTAATAAAGACATTAGATTGCCCAAGGAGAGCAATCACAAGAAGCGCTCTGCGCCAAAACTGAACTTCACAAAAAATGGTCCGCCATCTTACCTTGGGTAAACGAAGAGAAAGGACGACCGATTAGCTGGGCACGTGTTGTAAAAAGCCGGGGTGGACCCGAAGGTCGATACACGCAAGGGCCAAAAGCGATAAAATATTGATTAGCTCGGATGAATATCGACTTACCAGTGTTGCATAAAATTGGGTGACCTGTGGTTGTTGGGCAGAAGGCGTCAACATAATAGTCACGTGATAACCCTGCGAATTTATTGTGCCCAAGAACGAGGAAAATTTGACGAGGTTTGCTCCCTATTCGCGATGGTTTTCGAAACTTGTGGTCCAAATGAAGCCATGGTGGTATCAGGTATTTCCCAATATCTTCGTGATCAATGTTACGTTTTCTTTTATAAAACCCCTCAGCAATGAGCTTGAATTGAATTGCATTTTCGCAGGTGTTTTTGCTGTAGTTCGCTTGAATGATCTTCCGAAATCAGAATATCTCTGCCCTAAATTTCCTGTCTTCTTGATCTGTTTTGCAGGTGTATGCCACACCAAGCCTGCTCTAGTTTCAGGTGGCCGTATATTTGTGTGGCCATGGATTCAAAAGCTGCAAAAGTGAGTCAAGGAAATTCATGCAGTTTACTCACGCTATGTACCACAATAGAATTTTGCTGAGGTGGTCCGATCTTTGCAACGCTAAAAATGCAAACGTAATGAGTGGACTCAAAGTTAAGAAAATGTAACATTTTGTCAAACAATTTCGTGTATTCGAAGCGGCAATTTTGAAAAATCTGCTTTCTAATAGTTTGTTGATGTGTTTGAGAATGTGACACCGATCACGGGTGTCATGGGAAATACATCTACATGGGATGAAGGTATGAACGCAATTTAACTTCCTGATGTTGGAATAGAAAACAAAAACATGATGAATTTATAACCCGTATTACCGTTGTCTTTTCCATATGTGGTTTTACTTATGTAGCTTATGTTCAATTTCAAGAGAAGTTGACTTCAAACCGTAACATCACACACCCCTGTTTTTGTTTTGATATAGGCCTACGTACGTTGAGTCTGAAAGTGCATTAAATATATTGAATAAAACATCGCGACTGGGAAAACCCTACAATGTACTTCAAAATGATTTGAAGGCTTTTATAGTCAAGATTACCTTTCATGAATAAATTGCAATCACTTAAATGTACAAATTATCAGTGAGTTTGCCCCCTGCAAGTTAGCCCCAGGTTTTTTCCTATTTGTAAAATAGCTTAGTAGTGGTTGTGTATTCATGAATAACCAAAAGTTTAATGCAGGTTAACAGTAACAATCAGTTGATCATCTCCACCTACACATGAAAATTTTCAAAATTCAGGCTTTTAATTTACGAGGCCTTGTTTGGGTAAAATTCCAACAAGCAACATGGCCTTGAAACAGCGACACAAGACAAGATGAAAAAGCGACGTTGGTTAAATACCAACAGGGGCATGGCTTACTCCTTGAAACACGAAAAGGCCGTATTTGAAATATTTCAGACTTGGGACATACGTACCACCCCTCCCCCATCCCTCCTAAGAGGGCCTCGTTAATGCTTTCCCGTGCATGCAAACACCACATTGTACGCTTTTGAATAGATGTACTTGTCTCACCTTGCGTCCGAAGTTCAGCTTTTCAGAGAGTCTAGAACAGACCTGCAATGAGTTTATCTCTATTCGCTCAGTGTCACGGCAAAGAATTTTCAGACTGCAGTAAGCGTGAAGCAAGCGTGGACTGGAGCGCCCCAAGCGAGTGGCAAAACCTGATAGCATGACTATGAAGGACTCTGTGAAAGTTTGAATTGAGTCTGGCTGTCATAAAAATTTAACCCTTTCAGACTCTTAACCAGATAGTTTTTGCAAAAAAATTTACTATGGGACCAAACCTCCAAGTTAAATTTTTTTGCTCGGTCGCCATTTGGCAACCAACTCTTTTGGTTTAGGGAGACTTTTTTACAAATCAAGTTGCCAGCTCCAAAATTTTAGGTGCCATGGTGACCAAAGTGGTCGCAACTTGGCAGGTTGGGGACAAACTTGATTTCTAACAGGGCTAACTAGTTAGGGGCTAACTTGCTATGGGTTGAAACCACTGGCTTCCAATACAAATTAAATGGCTACAGTGAATGAAACATGTCTGCGCAGCCATGTAATACCCTCTTTATACAAAGTGCATATCTTGCAGGTAAAACAGATCTCAAGCTAAATCAGTATTTAACCTGTTTGTTTCAGAATCGTCTTTGTTTCATAACACTAATTGTTCATAGGAGAAAAAGGAAACTCTAGTTTAACCTGAGAACAGATTTTGCTCACAACTCATACACCACACAGGACCACATCCAGATGATCCAATTGTTAAACTAGTTTTGAAATGGTTAGAAGCCAGTAATTTTTAATCGATTCGTCCACTTTTCCAGACAGGAATGGACAGTTGTTATTACAGCTGGCTACTTTATGCACACATTTTGTGAAAAGTAGCCTCTTTATGGGGGTAATCCCTAAAAGGATCATCAATGCATTCAGTATCAAGACTGTGTGAAATTATTGTTGCTTCAGTGGACATCTCTGCTCTTGATCAGTCATCATACTGGATGTTTCACCTTATAATGTTATGTATGGTTTCTTTACAGAATATCACTGAACACTATGACCCTGAATGTGGAATCTCCGTGTATATACCCGCCATGGAGTGCCTATCTCTGTAACTGGAATAGCTCAGGTAAATACCTGTGAGCATATGTTGTTCTGTTGGCTCTTGGAGGGTCATGTATTAGTACATGTATGTTAGGTTCAAGTGAAGAGGGTTTAATTTGAGGTGTTGCCAGAAACCTTAGCTTTCTTTCTAACTACTTTTGTACTTTTAAAAAAGGTATCCCCATTGTAACGATAGCGGTCTCACTTATGAAGGACTCTGGCAATAGATTCACCCTTTTAATGGTCACCAAGAATACAACAACAATGAAGTACATGTTTTTCTAATCACGTGACCTAAAACCACAGGCATACCATGACACCCATGACAGTTGTCATTAATTTTGAAGAACTGAGGTTCGACAGTGACTGGTACAGTGTAGGTCAGGATGAAGAACAAGGGGATTAGAAAATGCACATAGCACAGAATAGTCTCCTTTTTGGACTGAAAGGCTAAGATTGGAAATGTTCGTTATAAAACTTATTGGTACTTAATTTCATGGGTCTTAAATTTCGTGTTTTTGTGATTGTAAAAAATTGCAAAAATAAATCCTTGCAAAATTTAAGCATGCAAAAGTAAAACCTCATATAGAACATTCAAAGCACAAAAAAAATTATTAACTTGTAACAGGTGTCCCCAATTAGTGCCAATAGGCATTAGAATGACTAGACACTTTAATAAAGGTTATGTATGTATGTATGTATGTATGTATGTATGTATAGAAACAACATACATGTATACGGGACATGTATCAACAATATATAGCTTGTTAACTAGTTTTACTGGTGAGCTCGGTTTTGTGTCTTCAGTCAGAAGTGAAATGACGTTAATTTGTGAAGCTTTCACACATTTCTTTTCCAGTTTTACTAGAAATTTGAAAACTTTCAGACTTTTTTAATAAGTAAAGTGAAGGGGAGAACTCTTAAATCGTGAATTTTAATACCTTTTTTTCATATTTGTGTGTGAAAATAACGAAAATAAAACTCCACAGTAATCACAAAATTAAGTACCAACAAGGTAAATCACACATAGTGAACTTTTTCATTTTGCAGGTAAAAATTCAAGGCCAAAATCAGGAAATGTTGTATGCAGCCTGCCAACAGTTTCTAGGCAAATCACAGGAGGAAGTGCGTTCTGTTGCCTTGGAAACACTGGTGAGGTTCTAGTTAATTTCTATCATCTATTGACGTTTAGATCGGATACTAGTTTGTTAGCAACCCTTAATTGGGCTTCTTGACTACACTTTACATACAAATTTTTGTACAATACACCTTCAACATATCCCACAATCCTCTTTAAATTTATTGCTTCTCAGAGTAATATTTTTGAGAACACAAATACATAACATAAGACTGGAATACAGCTAGTGCTCAGGGGATGAACTGAACCCAGGTCTGTGGCGGGCTAGAAGTCTTGCATTCTATAAACTTGCACTTGTATCAACTGTGCTTTCGTCTTATGACTAACAGGATAATTTACAGTGTATTTTATAAGCAGGTTGAAGATTGTTTAGTTATGTACATTCTTTTCAGGCCTTTCATCTTACCATAACCTTTTTTTGACTCAGCAATTAATGTTAATGTTTACTGTTTTATAGGAGGGCCATCAGAGAGCCATCATGGGCACAATGACTGTTGAGGTAAATGGAAAGAATGCACTGCGCTAGTAACTGTTGCATCTTGTTTGTCATTTTTTGTAAGTTTTTGTCATGACCAATGGTTTAAATTTGCAATTAAAACAGGAAATCTACAAAGATCGTAAGAAGTTTTCCAAGAGTGTATTTGAGGTAAAGTAATGCAAGTACATGAATTTAAATTAGTTTTAAACTAGTTTCTAGAGTAATTTTAATGTGTATTTTTATTTCCTGCCCTTCTTGCTTTGTGTTCCTGTTGTTTTGTTAACATTTTTAACTTTTTCATTTTATCTTGGTTTGAGCGTTACTTAATACCATAACAATCAAGGAAGTATCAAGTTGTATGCAGTGTTCTCCTTATCAGGCTATAACCGGTAAAATTTACCGCCTGAAGCAACACTTCTTACCGCCTGCAATGGCCTGAAGGTTTACTAAAATTAAAGAAGTACTTGTAAAAAATACACTAGTTGTGATCTGATCCGATTCTCATATGCCACAAGGAAATGAATGAATATATGGAAAAGTACAGTGGAACCCCATTAACATGGTCACCAATGGATCAAGCAAAATTGGCCGTATTAGCATGCAGGGTGGCCATGTAACCGGAGCATTAATTAACGGGTGACCGTATTAACAAGTGTTTTTTATTATAAAATGAGTGGCCGTTTTGTCATATTACCGAGGTGGCCTTAAGCTGGGGTTCCACTGTACTGAAATATTCACAGCTTTTCTTTTTATGGGCCACGCATTTTGGAAAGAGAACATTGAAGACACGGTAAATTTATTGGAATCAATCGTTTTAAATTGTTGTGTAAAGGTAACAATGGCGAATTTGTGTAAAATGGGTCTTAAAGTGAGGGAATGACATTTCAGAGAACTTAGCTCTTAAATTTCCCAGCAAGAGCAAGGCCATGTCCCGCAATCCAATGCCCCCTTGCATACCCCCAGGAAAGTGCACCTCTGGCTATGAATGGTCCCTTATCTGCTGAGCTAAAATTCAGGGAGAACGCTGTGTATACATGAGATTCCCTGACGTTATAGTTCACAAGCACTATTGTTTGTTGAACCTTTCATTTCAGGTTTTGAGGATTGATTAAATTTATTTATGGCAAACATTTGTCGGTACTTGTACCTTATGGAAAAATGAACAGTCATTCTTGTCAGTCTTCATTGTTGTTAGCATTATTTTTTTACTACATGCAAATGTATATGCATTACTAAGCAACTATGTTTTGAATTTACTTTTTGAAGGTGGCATCATCTGACTTGGTTAACATGGGAATCAGTGTTGTGAGCTACACAATAAAAGATATCAGAGATGATGAGGTAACTAACATGTGAAAGGATAAATTAATTTCAAATCACCTATACCACCACTACCACCACCACCACAATCATCATCATCATTGTCATTGTCATCATCATTTTTAGTGTTTACTTTATACCTGGTTCAATTTTAAATTGTGGTTGTTCGTATGACATGGGCAATGTATTGTAATGTAGTGTGTACAGTGTTTAAAAGAAAGAGAAATAAAAATTGACCTCGTGTGTAAACCCATGGAACCACTTTTTACTTACCTGCATGGGGGTAGTGGAGCAACCCATTTGAGTATTTTTTAATTGCCAGTTTCCAGATAGGCAAACAATATTTGCGGGAAAGAGTAAAAATGTTAGTGAAAAGGGGGATTGGTATTTAAACCAGCTGCACAACTCCTCTGTGCTAGTAAACTTTAGCAACAGCTTACCCAAACGGCAAGCAATTTCTTTAATGTTCATATGACCCTGTCCTGTTCCCTGCATTTTAGCTTCTTAGTGGTACTTGTGTATAATATACACAAGTACCACTAAGAAGTGTTTTGCTCCTTTTTTCAGGGCTATTTGCTTGCTCTTGGCATGGCCAGGACTGCACAGGTCAAAAGAGATGCCAGGATTGGTGAAGCAGAGGCTCAGAGAGATTCTGGAATCAAGGTAAAAGTTTATCATTGATATGGTGCACATTAACACATCTGTGTGTCAGATTTTTATATTGTATATATATGCTGAGGTTGAAGTTTTGTCTTGGTTTAAATTAATTTTTATTTTTGTTCATTTTTGTGTGTCAGTGATGTTGTAATAATTGAAAATTTGACTTGTACAAAATGTACATGCTCCTCCATTTCTCTTAGCAATATTTCAAGGGCTGTCGATTTAAAGTCCCAGTATTAATTTTTTGTAATTTTATACCAGTGTATGTGGTAATTTTGGGTATAGATGTTTTGTGTATACATGTTGACTTGATAAAATCTGAATTATTTTATCCCATGTTAGGAAGCGTTAGCTGAAGAAGCTCGCATGAAAGCTAAGTTTGAGAATGACACACTGATTGCCAAAGCCAAGAGAGACTATGAGTTAAAGAAGGCTGCATATGACATTGAAGTTCAGACCAAGGTACTATTCAAAAGTTTTCACAGATAGCCTGCGAAAACAGCTATCTCTCGTCATTTGTCCCCGCTAGGAATGTTTTACCAAGAGGGACATGTGCACCTCAGCAACAGAAATTCCATGCTGATGATGTAAAATCTGTCTGGTATCTGGTTAGGAGCTCTTATTGGTTGACGTAGTAGTTATATTATTTTAGCCATTGTTTACTAATGACAGACAAAAGGCAAATGGTCACAAAGGTCAAACTTAACTTTGATAATACAAAATATATAATAATTATTATGTCTTTTTCGTTCACTTAGCTAACTTAATAATACTTTGGTCTGTTTGATATAATAGAAAGCCCAGTCAGAACTGGCTTACAATCTTCAGGCCTCTATAACAAAACAGAAGATTAAGGAAGAAGAGATGCAGATCAAAGTTGTGGAAAGGGCACAGCAGATTAATGTTCAAGAGCAGGTAATACCTTGTTGTTGTTGTTGTGGTTCTTGTCACTGTACAAGAAGCTGTGATCTTTGTCATTTATAAGTAATTTCTTTGTTAATGTTAAGTTCCAAAGTGCATAAGGAAGTGTAATTGGCAATATCAGGAAAATGAATTAAACAGCCATGACACGACCTCTTAAACTCAGCGTCATGCTTGCAAGACCAGATATGGTGCTTTTACTATAAAGGTACAGGTGTAACTATCTACATGTAGACAAAACTGCTGGCTAGTTAGCCTTCCTTAGCCGGCGACACTGCTAACAAAAAATAAGCACCATTGAATAAAATTGTAAATCATCCGTTTCCCAGTTTTGGATGGCATTGAACATGTAATATTATTTAAACGGGTTTAGCTCTGTGAAACATTCGAACCATGCGATGTCATGGAACGTCTGGGATATTTTGATAGCATTGTTCCCAGTCTTGTGTGCATTCTGACGAAACAACATGGCGTCCACGAAACAACATGGCGTCCAAGACTCTAAATTTCAAAATATCCCAAGATACCTCAGCCCTAAAGAACTTGTGCCTTTGGGGTGAGTTCTGCCTACTATTCATTATGAGCCTGCTACTTCATTGCAAAGCAGGCAGCTAAACCTGTCCAAAAAGAGTATGGATTTTAGAGAAGTCACTCTGTACTTGTAGTTACCTTTGTTTGTTGTGACAATAATTATTGTAGGAAATTGCTCGGAAAGATCGTGAATTGGAGGCAACCATTAAACGACCAGCTGAAGCTGAAAAATATAAAGTGGAAAAACTTGCTGAGGCCAACAGGTATGCAGTTAATGAAAGATGCTGTTCTTTGCCAGTGCCACAGGGTTTCACATTTTTGTTGATAAACTTGTACTATTATTTTGCTAAAATAGGCCTTTTATCATGCTGAACATTCTTGAACAGATTATTGGTCTCAATTCTCAGTTCAGCTAGTTGTATTGAGCTGGACAAGTGTTGGGTTGTGTATCCCTGGCTTTAGAGCTAAGCTGTCAGTAATTAACCCACAGAATCTGAAATCAATTATTTACTTGTCTTTCCTTTCTAAGGAATCGTGTGATACTTGAAGCTGAGGCTGAAGCTGAAGCCATAAAGGTTAGTAGAGTTTAAAGAAAGAAAGATACTGTTATTAGTAATATTGTTGAGAAAGATACAAAAAATATCAAGCATGCAATGAGTGTGGGACATGATTTTACCCATTGACACCCAAGGTATACATGCCACTTACATACGGCATGGCTGTGGCTAAGATTTCAAGTTGCCAGAAAAAAAAATGGTAGGCAGGGAATAAGAACAGCTAAGGAATTCTTAGTTCAATTTTCCATTTGTTTCCTATGAAAGTAGCCAGTAGGGTTCATGCTCACAGCATCCAGGAAAATCCATGGCCCAAGTCCTCAGTGACATCCTCAAATTAAAATCAAAGTTTTCAATCAGCAGGCATGGGCCTTGTGCCAAGCATAAGAGTTGGCAGGCATACCAAAGATACTTGTACTGTTTGGACATGTTTACAGCACCATTGATCTGATCTAATGGTGAGAATTGGGCAATTTCTCATTTTCATGTGTTGCCACAAATCCTGCTTGCTGCTAGCATCAACATTGTGTGTACAGCATTTTGTTTAAAGGCTGATACTGAATGGTAGTGATTTTCATTGTTGTTAACAGGTGAAAGGAGAAGCTGAAGCATTTGCCATAGAAGCCAAAGCTACAGCAGAGGCTGAGCAGATGGCAAAGAAGGCTGATGCATGGAAAGAGTACAGGAAGCTGCTGTTGTGGACATGGTGTTGGAGACCATGCCAAAGGTATATACCAGGCTTTTTCTACACAAGCCTGTTTATGTTTGTCATTAATGTACTTTATAGTCACAGACTTACACCTCGTGTCCATGTGTAAAACATTTTGTAAAAAGTGTAGGTCTGAAAGAACACTGGGGACAGAAACTTAACTCCTGTTCCAAGCAGGTGTCTGTTGTAGGTAAAATCGTTTTCAGGTTAAGTCAGTATTCAACTCAGTTTGATTCAGAATTCCGTTTGTTTCCTATCCCTAATTATTTATAGGATACAAAGGAAATTCTGGTTTGACCTGAGAACAGATTTTACCTACAACATCTACAAGTTTAATATGCCAGTAGTGCATCTCAACTCATTTTGACTGTAATTTCACAGATTGCAGCTGAAGTTGCAGCTCCTATTTCCCAGTGTAAGAAGATTGTAATGGTGTCCAATGGCAAGTGCGACGTCGGTGCCAGTAAGATCACTTCAGAAATCCTGGAAATTGTGGCCAACCTGCCCAAATCAGTTGAAGCTTTGACCGGAATTGATATCAGCAAGGTGAGTGACATCAAGAGTGAAACCCTTTTCTGATTGAATTATGTCGACGTGAACTGCACTTCTGATGTTTGCATTTTTGGTTGGAATTCTGTTGTAAAACCTACTAAGAATCAAAGGATCAGATTTTTCAATCCATGAACTAGTTTTGACGTTGTTTATTACCTCTTGAATAGACCTTATTCACAATACCTGCCATCTTTGTATGCGCTTAAAGACTGATGTCACGCGGTTTCTCAGGGGACAAGCAAGTGATAAAATAATTCTGCCGATAGAAGAAATCATGGTTGAGTTTGTTTATTCTAGACAACAGTTAAATGAAAACCTTTTTCCCTAAAGGAGGATAATGGCACATTTTAGGTGTAAGTGATCATAAATATTGTTACTTTTTTGGATGCAGTAACGACCATAGATGCCCCCAGCAATAATGCTGTACAACTTGTCGAAACCCGAACTTTACACTTGTGTTGATAGAATAAACAAACTCTACCCAGATTGCTCGTATTGACAAATTTTATCACTTGTTTGCCCCTGAAATACCATGTGACATTTCCTTTACCCTGTCAATCCTAAAGCGTGCACAAAGAAGGCGGGTATCGTGAGTAAGGTCTATTGACGTCACGAAGAATGAAAAAAATTTGTGTTTTTGACTTGTGCTTTCTGGTGAAAATGAAATAATCATCAGGAGAGGACAGAATTCGAACCTATGACCTCCCAAACACCAGGCAGGCCTCTATCTACTGAGCTACTGAGAACTCATGGAGAGCAAGGCCATATACTAGGTTCATATTTGACACGCGTCCTGCATACTGCTAGGATTGGCAATGTCGAGATTGTAGTGTATGATGAAAGAATGAAATGTGATGAAGTGATGAATTTTTCTGTGTTTTCTTGTTGTTTTTTTTGTAGGCAATGAGGCTGTCAAACCGTGTGTAACCTTCATGGCCAAGAAGAATTGTCAATAATTTCTTACAAGAAAATAAGATTTTCCTCTCAGTGGATTTTATAACCCGTTGCTCATGCTCTATGTAATAGGCGAGATTTACACGACAGTATCATTTTACTATTGCAGGACAGAATGTCATTCATGACCATTTCCTTTCCCAAATCACATGTAGTAATTCTGCTGGATTTTAAACAGCGATACAATATACACAAGAAAACAAAGTTGTGAAGCATTCTGGTAGCTGCTTGTAGTAAACTGACACCGTCATAAAAAATTCTGGTGCATGGATGTTAAATTCTGGTATAACCATTTTGGTGTATGTACTAAGTGAGTCTTTTGTAGAAGTACACGAACATGATACGTTTTGCATCAAATGGAAAGGTCCAGGAAAAAAATGCCAGTCCCAGATGGGACTCAGTTTTTTCCCTTAGTTTTCATTTGACACAACAACGTATTATGTTGTATTATGTACTGCTGGTTAAAAACTAAGTGTTTAATATGTTAAGTTTAGTGTAGCAGCAATTTGGAATTTAAAATACTGTACTGAAAGCTATTTAACAATTACCCCGTGCAATCGTTTTTGTAGTAGTTAGACTGTACAGACTAAACAGCACTGTGAAATCATTTCCTTTAAGCCTAGAGACTGGGCAGAGTTGGATGCTCAAACGGAATTTCCGGCAAAAGCGATGTTGTGGATGGTGGCTTCTGAAAAGACACCAAACACCACCCTCAGTATTTACTTGGTACATTGCAATCACTAACCAAGGTCCCCAGGTACTATCACCTGAGTGGCAGATGTTCATGGTGTTGGAAGAGAGGAGATGACTCAGGCGAGAATACAAAGGACATGCAATAGACCATTTACGAGTTCCCCCGGCCTTTGTGTCAAAACTAGGTTATGTGCTCAGCCTTTGATATGGAAATGACTCTTCATTCTTATGCAAATAAAACTCATTTTCACAAGAAAGGTTGTACACTTGGCCTCATTTTGAAAGTGAGGGTTTTTGGAACTCGGAAGTGGCCTATTCGCCACTTTAGAAACATGAAGGAAACTGGGCCGAGTTAACATTGCAAAGACTTCTGGGACGGTTACTAGAGACAGGGAAAAAATTGACCAATAGCTGACCGGCCCATCCCAAGTAACGATCCCACAAACAATATTACCAAACACATTTCATCTCCATTTCCCTTTTTGTTTCTAAAGTGGCGAATGTTTTGCTCGCATTCTCACAGAAGGAATTAATTTTGCACCCTGGTCAACCTTCTCACTGTAGTTTTGTCCAATGCTGATTTTGACTGTTTGACACTTCCATCGCATCACTAAGACCCTGTTTACATGGAGTGGGGGACCACGGTCTAGTGGGGTAGGTTTCTTTTGTTTTGTGTCCCTCAGAGCGTGAAAACAAGAGAAACCAACCCCACCAGACCGGGGTCCCCCACTCCATGTAAACAGGCCCTAAATTGTGGTGAGATGTGAGAAGTTTAAACCACATTAGCACAATATTTATATTGTTCACAAAATGTTGAAGTTGTTTGACCAACTCTCCAATAAATCGTTTCCCCAAAGTCTTCATTGCCCTTGTTGAGCGATACGGACATGAGTGATCGTTTTAGCTAACCAACACGATCGCAGTCTCTGAGAACAAGATTGTCTGCTCTGGCAACCTCTTTGTACTTGCACAAGCGCGTAACTAATTTCCTTTTTTATTTTTCGTAAGTAATTTCTATTCATTTTTAGTCAAACAAGATCTTGTGTAGTTGTCAGCAAAAGCCATTGTCAAATGTGCTGGTCACAGCTAATCGAACTCTTATCGAACCTATCATAACATTTGTTCCGAGCAACACGGCTATGGCAAACTATGATAATCTCAGTTGTTACATTTCATCGCCCTTCTTTGCTACATACACTTTTGAAAGAGCTCTCAATTTGGTAGTAATTGGCTGTATACACGTTAGTGGACGTCGTTGTTCTTAAACTTTACCTCTAATATTATTTTATATAGTGGTAAGAAATGTGAACGCCGGGCAAAGTCAAACTTAAAAGTCAAGATAATCTATATAATTATTATTAGTAGTGGTGTTAGCGGCTTTGATATATCATTGTAAGACTATAAATACCGAATACTGCGACTTCTGTTGAAATAAAGTACTTAGAAAAATAGGCTTGTTTGTTTGTTGAAACAGTCAATTAGTTTCGAAGCGTTATTGAGTCATAATAGTTGTACTTTGAAAAAATGGGCTGCTAATTGACCTATGGGGAAATTTATTCAATTGATATGATAAGCGCTCGTTACCGATAGTATTTTTTGAATCAAAACTGGTGAAAATTTATCTGGACAGGATTGGTGCGTGATAAAACACAGGAAATAAGTCTTGAGGTCTCTTTCTTCAACGCATGTAGAAGTGACATGACCCCAAGCTCTTTGGATTTTGGGACAAGAATGGCCAACTCGGTCCATGAGTTGAATGAAGATGAACTATTTGACCACGCTTTTTTATACACACAGACCGCTGTGACACAATGGCTATGAACTATTAGTTCTGAAAACAGAATCATCCTCTCCCGCATTTCACTCTAATGAAAGATTCTTACTTAACCAACCTTCAGAGCGGGTTTTTAGACCCGTAGCCAGGGTTTTTTTTTGGGGGGGGGTTCGATCCAACGAGTAGACGCAAACGAGGCCAGAGGCGCGAGTCCCGGCCCTAGCGGGAGTGGCGGGGTGAGGGGGGTGGGGGACTAGGCTGTCTAAGACTGTATTACGAGCAAAGTACGAGCGTTTTGAAAAACATTGGTAAGTATTTCTCAAACTGTTAAATTTCAAAAGTGATTTGTGTCAAAGCCGGACCACTTTATTTTACAATTTTTGAGAATGTCAATGTCACTGTTTAAAAGGAAAAATAAAATAGAAAGGAAGTTGTAAATCCGCACTATTTGCTAAGTTTGCATCATCCGGATATACTAACTTTTGGCCACAGAAAACAGCAGATGTTTTAAACATCCTCAAAGACGAAGGGCTACACAAAAAAGGAACAGTGCATACCTTCATCTCCTTCAAGCACAAGAGGGTCCAAGATCCACCCTTTGTGATTGGCTGTTGGCAGGCAATTGAAAAACGAGAATTTCAAACCTTCATACGGCCTTATAAATGTGTAAGATCAATTAAGCCAGTCAGAACGGTTGTACTGCTCTCGCCACAAAAACAAAACAAAGTTAAAAGGAATGTTACTCCGTCAGGCTAGCAACTGTCAACTGCAAAGGGAGAAATGATAACAACATCGCGCTGCAGTCCTAAGACTCGCTGTCCTGTCCTAAGACTTGGACAGGCAAAATTGACCGACTTGAAATTTTTTTTTTTACCATGAAAGGGCTTGCAGGTTGACTGATGCAAGCGCTAAACACTGGGTTGACTAAACTGGCGGTGAAACTGTTTTTTCACATCTACCACGCAGGAAACTATGGAAAAATACACGCTTTTGAAAATAAAAAAAGGAAAATACTTTAAAATAGAGTAAAATTGAAACCACAGGCAGCCACTGTGCGGTAAAAATCCTCGTTTTTAAACTTTGAGGAAAAACGAAGGCTATAAACTTGAAAAACGTTTTGTATAAACTTGAAAAACGTTTTCACAGTATTTTCAATTTTACTGCACAATCAGTGAATTAGAATAGAAAATACTCTCAATTCACTTTGTTTAAAATCACTGGTCAACAAAAAGTGGACCTCTGGGGCCTGGGTGGGTAGGGGGGGGGGGGGAGGACCCGTCACACCTCCACTCCCCACGGGCCTGAGTTCTTGAGTGATGACCACAAAGTGGATAGATTTCAAAACCCCGTAATGAATAGATTTGTACGTCAATGGTAGCGAAGTCTTTATTTTTAAGGATCTTCTTGGATTCTTTAATTTGCAATGCTTCCAGGATTTGACTCGACTTTGAAGCCAAGCACGAAGTTCTGTATCACTTTCGAGACTTTCTTTTTAATTTAACATGCTTTCCTCTGTTTTTCACTCCTTTCTTAGCTACTTTCAATTTAACAGATTTGTTTACTTTTTTGTCTTGTTGGGATTTTCGATGTTTTGTTTCTTTGGAAGATTTCTCCGCTGTTTCCGCTTTATCGTCTGGGTGCCTTCTCTTCTTTCCTGGTTGCGACTTTTCCTTGGAATTCCTTTTTTTGCGGGTTTTTGGAAAGAGTTCTAGAGAGAAAAATAAATAAGAAACCACTCAACTGGCTGTAAACATAACCACGGATTCTTGAAATAACACCTCTCTTTACAAAAACATTACACAAGTAAAGCAAAAGCTAAGGTGGCCCTATAAATTATATCCATAAACGTTTCCACAACGATGCGCAACATGTCACATTTACGACGGTTTTAATCTACAACCAACTGGATTCATGACACTTTTCACATTTTAAAATTACATCCCTTATTTTTGCACAAGAGAAATAATCGGAAGTGTTTGGTTAGTTGCAAGTTCAAAGGTGCAGAAGTTGAATTTTTCTCCGGCGCAACTTACCAGGGTCGGGTTCTGCACCAACTTCTTGTCTGTACCAATCAGCATCGTCACTGTCCATGACGTCATCCGCAGTCATGGCTACATCACCTGTTGATAAAAGTTCGATACTCATCTTAAAGCCGCAACAAAGATAACTTGTTATCCCGACACATTTTTTGCCTTTGGCTACGATGACCTTGAAATGGCCTAAAGTCGTAGCAACTTTCTTAGTTGTGCCTGCAAGATTGGACTGAACGAGAAGCTTAAGGAAATAAACTTGAGATATGACTGGCGTTAGAGTAATGAGAGCGGATGCTACAATACACAAACCTTCTGCATCAGCCTCTTCGTCTTGTTTCTCTAACTTCTGCTTCTTCATTTGACCTTCAATGCTTCGCGCTCTAGAGTCGAACAAACAAGAAACGCCCTCAATCATAAACTGACCTAAAATCAAACAAGTTAGCGGAGGAAAACATTACCGCTAAAGCGATGAAATGCTGACTTTTCAAGGGATATGGCCTCCGTGGTCATACCCTTGATTCCGCTCCTGCTCATATCCCAATCCCTACCCACTTACCCCTACCCCTATCCCCTGACGCCGCCTCTTTACTTTGCCTGGGTTATAGAATTTTGAAAGGGAAGGGAAAGGGCCAAATAAGGGGTGCGAGAACGTGACGCGCCCATCACATTCTCACGCGTCTCCCACGCAAGCTATTTTTCACCAGACTCACTGTCCCGGTCCTCTGCCTCACACTGTATTGTGACTTTTCAAAGCTACCTACTTGTTGAGCGCCTTCTCGTTTTCTTTTTTCTTCACGTTTTCTTGCTGCAGTTTCTTCCTTCGCTCTTTCAACTTCCTTTGAACAAAATGAAAATCCAGAGCATAAGTGAGCGACTCTTAAAAACACACGTTTAAAGAAAACAAAACGCCAAGTAACAATCGCTTATTTAGTAAGACGCAGATCGAGGAAAATGAAATTGTGACATGGGCATGGTGGATTCACCGAACGCAAGGGTCAAATGTCAAAAAAATTCACCAAGACTGAGGCGTGGTTGATAAAAGGTTGGAAGTAGCGGAGAGGAAGAGTGTATTGGCCGTGATCAAAGCACATCGCTTTCCTTGCACTTCGCTGTTGCCTGTAAAACGCCTGTTCCTCATGCGGGATATGAATGTTATATTACTTACATTAAAAATGACGATAATTTTGATGGAATCATACCTTTTCTCCTCTTTTTGTCTTTTCAATTCTCGGATTTCTTCAGCTGTCTTTTTTACTAGTGACACAAAAAGAAATAAAGGAAACTATTAATAATGAATGAAGCACTAATAACTGGGATGCCATGAACAGTACAACCGTGAAATAGTTCAGGTTACTTTACGCAACGACTTCTCTCGATCCATTAAGATAAAAAAGTTCTTTATTTGAGTGTCAATGTATTTAGGATAATAGTAATAATTGAGGACACTACTTTTATCTCTCCCACTTACGACGGGACCACCGTTTTACATGGTCATCTGAGCCATGTGAGGATCTAGCCGATTGTAGGACAAGGCAGTACACCTTCATTTCTCAGTTATTTTAGTTAAGACCGAGTATTGTTCTGGCTCGGGAATTGATCCCACGACCTCCTGCTCTGCAGTCAAGCGCTCTAACTACTAAGCTAATCCTGCCGTGAAGGCAACTTAAGTTCAGGAAAAACTGTCAATCTCACCAAACTCATGAAAAAGAACTTCTCCGGAACACATTCCTTCCTGGATCTTAATTAGCTGAAGGCACAACCGAGGTCCAAGCTGGAAACAATAAAATGTTTGATGAATGTAAGGTATGTCATAACGGCATCATACGGACAAAACAAAAAAATAAAACAAAATAAAACAGCCATTAACCCTCCAGCAAGTGTTTCAACTTTTTAATCAAGTAGAGAGATAAAATGGGTCTTCTGATTACTTGAAGGTCATTTACTACCTTCACGTGAGATATGTGAAATATTATTTTTAACACATAAATTGAAAATGTTGAGCACATAAGTTTTATTCCACTTTAATCCACCCTAAGCTGTATTAAAAATCCACATGACTCCCAGGGAGCCCATGTAATTACAGAACGATTTCAAGTACAAGTAAAGATTGATGATGATGATGATGATGATGATAAGGATGACAATTAGTGTAAATCCTCAAATTGCTAGAATCAGTACTGTCAAAACCACCAAAAATAATTTTTTTATAGGCTCGTTTCTAGCCTGTAGCTGTGCAGTGGTGTTGAGTTATTTTAGATCCGATGATGGCCTGTGCTTTCTCCGAACTGTCTCTATCCACTGAGATATATACCATAAGTGAATGACCTCAATGATGCAATGTCATTCAGTATAAGGCAGTGAGTGTTGTCAGCTTGTCTGAGAATTGGGGCCAAGTTGTTTGAAGCAAACTTCAAAGTAATCCTGGATTAACTATAGACAGAACATATCAGTTGTCAAGGTAACTAACAGAGAATTTGTGCCAATTGTCTTTTAAAACAACTTGGCCCAGTATGACATAGGGGTACTGGAAACAGTAGCTGCAGTAGGTGTCAGTAAGCTGCAAAAGACTGGCATATGTCTAGAGGGAAGCAGCAATGCTCCCAGGTTGGCACAAAGTACCTTTTAGTAGGAGGATAATACTACCGATTGGCGAATCTTTGTTCACATTTTTTTCCTCATTAACATATGCTAATCATTATCTGATGGAGCTAATAAAATAAAATCTCAGAATATTGAAAGATCATAACAATTTCAGTTATCTCTGAAAATTTTTGCCCGATATACCAAATGGATTTGGAGAAATTCTCCTTTAAAGACTCAAAATTTTACAAAGAATGTATGGCTCATTATCTTTTTTGCCACCCATTAATTTTACGGTTTTCATGGCTAGTATTTCCTTCAATTTTGCTTGCAAAGAGATGAAAATTGCACAAATTGCTCAAGTTAATCAGCTCTTTCAACTTAGAGCTCAGATTGTATATACGGCCACGGCTTCTATCAGCTAGCCAAAAAGGGTGTATGCTAATGAGGAAAAATGTAAACAATGAGGTCAGCAAAGATTTGCCTATAGCTCTACCTCTTTTTCAATCAATCAGCATCACTTACGTCTGTATGCATACCTCTGTAAGTCTGATTGCACTCTGCTGAGCCTTGACATTGCCTCTTCCTGGCACATCCTGTGGTAATGTTACCCTAGAGTCTGCAGGCTCTTCACCCTCACTCTCTGAACCATAACCACACCCTCCTCTGAAACAAAAACATCACAGCATACTCAATAGCATCTATTACTCATTTAAAATTTTAACTCAAGAATAAAATATTCAGGCTCTGAACTACATGTAAGTTTGGCATATGTTGTGGAGCCAGATGGAAAAAGTAAACAAAAAATTTTAAAACCTAGAACTTGGCTTCTTGTCATTTCCAAGAGCAAAGGCTTTACCCTGAAGGGGAGGTGGGGGCGAGGGGTACCAGAGGAATTTTTGGGTGGGGATGTGCTGCTGAAAGCCTATAATGAGATCTAGAGTGGCTTCATTTTCGGGCTGTCATTAAGCTAGAGGCAGGGGCGGGGGACTTCCCTCAGCTACTATGAACATGTTCCCTGGCTACTTTCATCAGGAAATAGAAAAGAAATAGAACCAAAAGGAATCCCTAGCTGTTTTATTCCCAGCCTACTTGTTGTATTATTTACACTAGCAACTTGAAGTCTTAGTGACATCTCAGATTTTGCTACCCTATACTTGACTAAGCTCCCAAAATCCCTCCCTACCAGTTTTCCTAATCTACAATCGTCATCCACCTCTAAAGGGGCTTTTTGACGTTTTCCTGACTTCAAAAGGGGAAAAAAATAGCTTTTCCTCCCCCATCCCCTCCATGCAATGTTGTGCCGCTGTTCAAGCTATCTTCAGAAAACAACAAACACTCCAACTTTGAATGGAGGGGACAGGGGAGGAATGTGGATTTTTTTGTTCTCTCAAGTTACCCTATTTGAGGACAATGTCTCAACGATAATATTTTGGCAGCGATTGTAGACAAAAATCTTCAACCAAATGATCAGTTTCCTGGAAAAAGATATCCTATTCTAGACTCAAACTCTCTGATTTCTATACCCTATCCCAGACCTAACTGCTTCAAAACCGTATCCTTCACAGCAGCAAATACCTATTTAGTGCATATATGGCAGTAGCCCTTCAAATAACTACAAAAATAAAACATATAAATGTTACCTTAGTACATAATCACTGATATCACTCAGCTGAGACATGTTGGGAAGCTTTGTTTGGATCAGTTTTTTTACTCCACGACTTATTCCAATGGGAGCAGCTTGGATGTTACTGTTAAGGTAAATAGGAGAAAATACTCTTACTGTGCACATACTAATCAGAACATTGAATAACAAAAAAAGCTTAAACAAAGGCTGGGACAAAGGCCCAAGCAACATTTGATGAACTGCTAGTTTCTCCTTCCTACTTGGTGGATTTAAAAGTGAAAGGATGAATAATTATTCTAATCCACCAGACCAAAAATCACGCAGGGCTTCTAAACAAAATCAAGCAAAATTCATATCCTTAATAAATATGCACGGTGTTTAGCAAACAAGATTTCCAAAAGTGATATTAATTTTTATGTCATAAACCATCTTTTGAAAGGTACCATAAACTAATATCCTCATGATTTCTAGGAAAGCCATGTCTCTGAGTGTCCTTCAACCTTTTTTAAGCTAAACTTTAAATAGTCAGAACAGAACTATAATGCAATTTTTTACAAATTACTTTTACATCGGGAGTAACTTACTAATGTCTGAAGTCAATGGTTTTTGTCTCTGAGTTATAGCTTAATAACACACACCGTCTGATTTCCGAGAGATGTACCTTAGTTAGGAAAAAAATAATAATAGAAATGCAGTCTGCCTTCAGTTGATTCTATTAAATACCAACTAGACACAATACCCAAAAAGATAATTTCCAAAAAAAGAAGAAGATGGATGGAAAGTCTTTAACTTAGCATACAGATCAACAAAGATGTATTATCATATAACTGCAGGCTTCATCTGTGGCTAAGAGGAAGTAGATCCTCTGTTCTAAAATTTGGCTACCCAAGCAGGTAAGCTAGGTGTATCTTGCCTCCTCAAGGTTGGCTGCTATGTCTCCCAAATAAGTCTTTGTTTTGTCCAAGCTGTTTTAGGTCAGGATGGCTGATGCATGCCATGGAGGGAGATGAGAGGCAGCTGTGTATTTCACTGGCTAATTATTTTCCTCAGTTGTTTTATGTGTTTTTATGTTCATCTTGGTCAAAGCAATAGAGGAAATGGCCAATATCTAGCCATCTTGAACTTGCTTGGTCAATAAAAATGCTAAATGCAATAAAATTATTTATCTGGTACACATCAAATTAAAGAAGGACTAATTTTGTTTAAATTTTTACTGATTCATTTATCACTAAGTACTTCCTCTATTATCAAACTCATTTCTCCAGTCCCTAAGCAGTTTATTATTACGACATTAATCCAGGTACTCATTCTTTAAAACACTTAGCATTTGGGTTGAATTTAACTCTTTTCAGATGCAGTTATTGGTGTAGTCAAAAAAAGTAAAAATAAATTCAAAATAAATTCACCTTTTGGATATTGAGAGAAGGAAACAGATTCTGAAACATTGTTGTCATGAGTTTCATTGACAGGCTGTCAGTGGAAAAACCATTCAATACCAACTGAAAGAGATAAAAGCAATTTATTTACAATTTTATTATAGATTTAGAAAATTAAAAATCAAAGAAAATTTTACAGTCAAGGCAGGTCAAGTGTACCTGTCCCCCCAAGATTCTATTAAATAATGTTGATCATTTAAAAAATGAATCCTTTAGTCGTTCCCATACTAGTGTCACATTCGAATCGGCATTCCTGCATGCATGATGACTAGTGAATATTTCAATGAGGACTTCTCTGTATTTGGTCAGATTGAAAATCTTTGAATGGATAAAACAGCTTTGAGACATTTACATCATATTCAGGGAGACTGAGCTGGTAGAAATTTCATAACTGCTTCACGTGTGACTTCAGGGCTTATTGCACACCCAAGAATGCAAAGATGAATCTGAAATCCACAACTACCAATGGATTCAACTTGCCATTAATAAATTCATTAATGGAATCTTGGGGGGGAGAGGAGGGGGTATGCTTGACTTGGCTTGACTGTAATAGTAATAATATTTATTATTAATAGATTACTTTTTTTCTAACATAAAGAATGTCTGATCTTACCAGAGGTGGTTTCTTGAACTGACTACCAAAAGTCTTAGGTTTCTTCAACAAAGACACCACATCTTTCATCAGAGAATACTACAATAATAATAAATTTCAACACAATGTTTCGGTCATGTCTGAAAGCAGAAATATTTTCTGTCAAATACTCTATATAAACTCAGAATCTGACACACAGAATTGTAAAGAAGCTAGAATTGAAAGAAACAAAGTCAGTACCAATAATATTAGTATATTACACCCAAAGAGCATTGAAATACAATAATAATTGAATGCAGTGCATGTACCAGCATAAGACTATTGACTGCTGTGGGTCAAAACATGATTAAGAAAAGAAAAGTGAAGCCTAGTGACAGTAATAAAAGAAGCCAAAGGTCTGTAAATATATTACACCTTTTCTTTGCAAAATTATAAACAGAATTTTCACCCGTCAAATATCCTCAATAAATTATAATATTATCTCCCGCTCAGACAGACATTTCACAGACAAACATTATGTAGTCTCCGGCTTAAAGAAGAAAGCACTTCTCTGGTCTGACACCTAATGTTGTAAAATTCCTTTTTTTTTTTTATACTTCCAACATTAGCCTTTAGATTTTATTGAACGTATAAAATCTTAAGTACCTGTTGAATTTTGAAAGTCAGTGTTGGTCCTCTGGGGACACGGCAGAATCTCTGTGAATGACAATGTACATGAAAAAGATAAGCCACCATTGATACGGTTAGTCAGATCATAATTATTGTCACATCATTTCACATATCCAGTATAAATTTTAAGATACCTTTTTATTAAATAAAAATCAGCCTCACAGTTGACCAGCACACTTCAATCCCAAGGAGAGGTACTCCCTACTAGGTAGCTTGGCCAAAAAGGGGTACCTTTTTCAGGCTTACATGAAAGGGTGGGAAATTACATGTATGTCATTTCTGTTGGTAAGAAGGCCCAAAAGGGCTTACAGATGCATTTTTTGGCTGTAAAAAAGTCAAGAAAACATTCTTGTTTTGTGATTTATTCATATTTAAAAGACAGTGCATTTACAGCAGTTAAACGAAACAAGGTATGTAAAAGGGGTACCATTTTTGTCAACAGAAGGTATAAGAAGGGTCAAAATTGGTGTATAAAAGGGTAAGGGGTTTGGACCTCTGGGAAGAGCCTCCCTGTATAAAACTTTCTTGAGTAGCCACATCCCTGGGACTTCAAATAACCCTGAAAATAGAAATATTAGCTGGGTATAACTCTATCATATTAGAAGTGTCTATAGACTTACCAGGTATGTGCCCATCTCAGTTTTAGAAAACATGATTAAGTGTGTTACACCAAGTGGTCCAGCAACATGCACAAAATCTTTGACAACATTTTTCTTATTAACCTATACAAAGTCAAAAATCAGGAAAGCTGTAAGGTTTTAAATTGATTTTGAGCACCCTCCTATATGTTTTGTTAAGCAACTACCACATAAATATCCTCAGGTTCCATTGTGAAGGTTCTGTTTATTGGGAGTGCTTAGACCTTAAGTTCATTGTATAGACAGTGTATAATTACTGTAGTTAGATTTTATTTGTGATCCACAGTCTATTACTTATTACTACTGTTAGTTTTGTAATTCACTGCTTTAGCCAGGGACAAAGGATAACAAAATTTCAAACAAAATTAAGCTATTACATGATTATGTTACATACCATCCTATTGTTTAAACATTTATTTTGGACAAATTATTATTAAACGTACTTGGTTAAGGAAAAAAATAGTGCTGACTCAGTTTGGCTATTATCCTGCCTTTAATCACATCAATGTCCCATCCTAATCTCTTTCTCTTCAGCTAGTTTCTGACATCCAGTATACATGGCAAGTGCACACACGAGCCTTTCCTAAAAAACTTATTGCGTACACCAAAATCGTAGCATTGCACGTGGCAGCATTGGGCCTAAGAGATTTGCACCTGACTTACAATGGCGGAGACATGATAATAATTTTCTGCCAAGTCTATCAAAACCTCTCAGTTATCCCACATCATTTCCACATCCCTTGCTTACACTTTTGCTTTCTCATCAGTATGGTGAGGTTACGTATGAATGAATGGACGGGCAATTTGCCTGTAATCTTGTTTGTAGCCCTTCTTATGAGTAAACTGAACGCTGAAGCATGAACATACTAGGGAAGTCTGGGGGGCATGCTCCGCTGGGAAAATTTGAAATTTAGGTCATCTAAAACAGCTGGAAATGCACCTAAAACTTGCATTCTTCTAATACAGAGCCTCTCTTTGGGCGTGCACCTGTATTCTGGTATAAAAAATCGTATTCCACACAGCTAAAATTGGCTCTGCATGCACAAGATCTCCTCGAGTTCTGCCATACTCTGGAGACTGGAGACCCCATAATTACATATTTTAACTGTATACCTTGAGCTTAGTAGCAGTATAAGGTTCCATAACATGTCTGATGTCCATCTCAAGCTGCAAGACAGATTTCCCAACCTCACCCTTGTGCATAACAAAACTGTGCGGAACTTTGTTTACATCCTCTTCTGTGACTTCTTGGTGTGTCTTCCTCTTTTTCTGAAAAATCCAAACAGGAGAGGCAACAAAATTGTTTATCTCCTGAATAAGCACAAGGAATAAAACTTGAGTCGTTCTATTGTGCGAGGCTTATCGTGTGATTGTGTATAGGCTAGGGATCATTGTTGAGTTCTTTGTGATGTAACTCGAGACATGCTTTCACTTGGTATATAGTTCACCAGCCTAAAAATCCTTACAAGTTATTACTTCTCCTGGCTGTCACTCTAGATCTTTTCATCTCCGTTGTTTCTTCTTGACTCAGGAACAAACGCAAAAAAACTAACCACAAGTATGAAAAGTAACCTTGAAATTCCTGCACGAACTGCCCAGAAATTTAACCATGGAAGAAGATGTTTGGTTGGTCTCTGTCGACTCGAGTGCGGCTGTTCAAACCTACACGAACGCGGCTGTACATGTATAAGAAAATACCTATTTATACCTAATTTTGCTACTTACTTTACTAAAAAACTTACCCTTCGCGTTTTTCCCATTCTGAACGTATTTTAGGGTATTTGCTTCCAAGATTTCTACCTTTAATCACTTGCCTAAAGACTCTTCCTATAACACGCGCGTGTACAAAACGTGCCAGGCGTTCCACTTGGCCGAGATGAATGATATTAAAGAGGAATGGTATCCATACTATCACCAGTCTCTCGCGATCATAACCATCATGGCGGATTTTTCGAACAACACAGTGCAAATTGAAACAGTGTCAAAAGGGGTGGCAAAGAGAAAGTATTTGCTGCTGGATGAGGATTTAGAGGACTTGAAATACCAGTTGAAAGATAATGCTGTAAATAAAAGTTATGGTAAGTGCAAATGAGTGTACAGGCTGTCAGACACCTCTTCCATGGAAACCCTTTGACGGATTCATTCTCTGGATGTCTAGGATTTCTCTCTTATTCCAATTTCGAACCTATCCTCTTTCAGCCGCCATGAAAATATTCAAGTTATCAGAAGTGGAATCTGTTGCTATAAGAAAATGGGGGAGTATGGAAAAACTGGAAGCTGAACAAGAGAAGAGGAAACAGCAGAACTCCAAGTTGGAAAGAAAAAACGAAGAGGAGAAAAGACATTTCTGGGACCACGAAGAAATATTTAAACCTCTTGAGCATTTCATGGTAAACCTAGAACTTCCGGAAGAACGTGTTTCCTGCTATTTTAGAGAGCAAATTGATGACGTTCTCGGTGAGTGTTAGAATTACATGTTAAAAATGCATGGTTCAATTTGACCTGTAACCATGCCCCCCCCCGGGCATACCCCCGGGGATTTACAATATTTTTTCTTTCTTGGTGGTCTATCCCCCCCCCCCCACCCCACCAGGCACGTAGCTAGGAAGAGCAATTCCCACTCCTGATCGACCTCATGAAAGTTTTATAGGTGCATCTTTTTTAAAGCAATAATTGATTTCTGTACAAAGGAGAAGTTTTCACAACTTTTATAAACGTTTTGTAACGTTTATTGAGAGAAGGATACTACTGTCATAATTTAGTTTAAGCATGAACAATAAATTTGAAAACGGAAAAGGAAGAAAAAAGCTCTGTTTTTATCGACTCCTTGATAGAACACTTCTTTAATAAGAACGCTCTTGAATGAATCTCTGTTTATTTATGTTTAAATATCATACACTTAATGTCAGATCCCGAGAGAAACAGTTAGTTTTGTTTTCCTGAGAGTCCTGATGTTTCCCAAGATGAAGTCGAGGGAAATACCAGGACTCGAGGGAAAACAAAACTAAGTGGTTTCCAGGGGACCTGACAGTAAGTGTTTTGTTAGATTTCTATACTTTCACTTCAACAGCAACAAAAGATTAACCGGAGCGAACCAAAACAGTCGACGCGGTACTTAAAACAACACAAATTTAATCCTCAAAACCACTGAATGAATGAATTACAAAGCACTTTCCCTATATTATCTGCATCTTTTTCCTCCACTAGCTGCTGTTTCTCTTCTGGGATAGCTTTAAAAATCGTTGCTTTTTAGCTGATTGAGGCTTTGTGTTTGTGTTGTTGTGTTCATTCACGAAAAGAAAATTGGCAGTGTTTTTCCCGCCTTCTGTCATGCCACTTTCCACCATGCTTTGATCACTTGCTATAAGTTATGTATCCCGTCAGTGGGGTACATTGCTTAATGTATCACGATTGGGATACATTTGATTTTAGTCAAGGCCACATGACCAAGAATCAACCAATGGCAGTCCCTGTTTAGTTGAGTGAAGTCTAGGAAATAATATAACAATGATAGGTTATTCCCCTTCAACCACTCTCCAACAAATTCCTGTATTTTCCCTTGAAAATACGTAGTGTTGAGGTCCGCAACCATTGTGCAAACTACACAAGAAATGATACGTACTTTGCAAAATCAAAGAGAAGATATTATTAATTTTGTGATTTGCCCCACCCCCTCAGCCCCACTTAAGGAAGCATGGGTATGCATACATGCCCATGGTTCCTTTCTTACTCTTCAGTTTAATCCTTATATCAGAAAGATTTATAGCATGAATTAGCTAGGGAGGCCAAGGTTAGGCAAAGAGTGTGGCAGGGGAGGAGGAGAAATGAGAGGGAAGGGAGGGTGTGAAGAAAAAGTTGATAGAGAAAGAAAGGGAACAAGGAGAGAATGTCATGCCTATAATACTGTACAGGGAGGTTTTGTTCCGGGGCCCCCTTTTTAAATCAGACAATACATGAATGGCAACGTTTTTGCACAAGTCAGATATCAGCAGTTAATTTTATTCACAAGCTTAGTAATACACAACAAGAATGCTAATATGATCCTGCATATCATGAACAGTACCATGAGTTGTGGAAGTTTGGTGTTGCTCTTGATAGGGTGCTAATCTGTCTAACATGACAACTTTAAAGCTTTTGTTTTTACTCCCATGGTATGAAATTATTAAACCAGAGCACTGAAAGAGAAGAAAGATGAACTTCCGGTCATTGTTTTTGACATTAAAGATATTAATGTTCTTTAATTGCTTACAGTGTGTAAGTTTGCTTTTGTGTTGGGTCATGTATTCTAAATGTGTTATGAAGAGGATGCTGTGTAACCATACCGTACCATTTGTTTAACAGTAGCTAATCAAATTTTCAGTTCTAAATGCTCTCAATCTCAAACTTCCTAAGAGACAACATACTGTTATGTTTCTTCCTAGAAACCAGTGCAAAAGATGAAAGCCTCATTGACTGTGATGTAATCCTGTGTTTTTGTGACTGCCTTCATAATGTTCCTCCTGACTGTAGGTATACTAGCTGAACAACATTGAAATCAATAATTGTGTCCAATAATGATAATTAGTAGTAGTAATAATAAATTAGTTATTATTATTATATATACCTATTTGTAAAGACTAGTGACACAGTAAAAAAGACAAATTAATGCAGCGTCCCTGATTTTGATACAAATAATGATTTTCCACGGTTTGCAAAAATACATCAGGGGTGTAATCATTTATGAATGGCAAGAGGATGCTGATCTGATTTTCAAAATTTTCCAAATTCTCAACACTCGCCAAATTAATATAGAAGCGATCTAGGTTTCCTGAAAGATTAACCCATTCACTCCTGGAGATTATGCTGAAAAACGTGTTTTGAAGCTTGTCGAGTGGTTTTCTGGTCACTGTCGTGCTATAAAGAGCTAAAACTCACCACAAACCAGTTTACAGGTCGTACACTTCGCGGCCTTCTGATCTAGATGCAAAATATCAGCTTGCAAAGTTCGGGCATGCGCAGAAAGCAAAGTGACACAGCAGTCTTGACTTTTACTTTTCGCTTTCTCTCCTCCCCTCTTTTTTTTGCTTTTCTTGCCTCATTTTTTTTTCTCTTGCTGGGCATTTTTAGTAGGCTTTGTTTTGGTGGGAAGAGTTTTTAGGAAAGCTTTTAGGATCTTTAATAGGATTAGGTGAAAGGAAAGCTAGGTGAGCAATGGAACAAGATTTTCATGGAGATTTTCAGGTCAATGTCATGGTTTTTTGCTTCTTTTTCCGGTGTCCTTGACTGAACTGTGCTCATTCTGGTATGGTTTGAAAGATCTCTTCACTCTGCACAAGTTAGTGGACAAAGTTGTCCTTGATGTAGGGTAGAAAGGACGTGGATCCGCACGGGCGGTTACGGGCGAATGGGTTAAGTTTGGGAAGTGAAAGGAATTTTGTGTTCTTTCTCCTCCCTGCCCTTTTTTAACTCCTTTCTAGTCCACAATCCTTTGCAAAACAATTGACTGAACACTGAGCAAACTCATGATAATAATAATAACAATAATAATAATAATGATAATTTTTTTAAATTTGTTTAAATTTTTTTTGTTTTAATTTTTTTTTAAATGAACACTATAGTGAGCAGCACAAACCAATACATGTTATTTTATTTTACTTTTTTTTTCATGTAAATAGAAAAGAAGGTACTGGGTTTTTGTTTCGTTTGTTTTCTTTTTTTTTTAAATGAACACGTTTTTTGTATCTTTTCTTTAGTTCATAAGTGAATTTAAAAAAAGTAAAACATTTTAAAACAAAAAAATTCATTAAAATAAAAAAAAAAAAAAACAAACCAATGCAAGGATTTACTTGATTTATTTCTCCTACCGGTTTCATCTGATCACACAAACTTCATCATGGAGTATAACAAGATAGCTAGAGCTAAGGAACTATTAATTAAGACAAAGTCACGTTCCCGTAAGGGTGAAGAGCAAAAAACACCCACAAAATATACGTGCAGAATGTCACTATAATCCTGTGTTACAAAATTTGCAATGTTTAATTTTGGGGCTCACAGATTTAACGTTAAAAATTTGAAAAATTAAAGAAAAAACTATAATAATAGCGTCCTTTGTTTATCCCAAGAGGAAATAGTGGTAGTGGGACCATGCAAAATTCAAATCAAATATAACTGGGTTAAGATTCCCAACTGGCTGGGGCAAACCAGCTGGCTATTTAAGAGCGTAACCGAGGAGTTGAACTTGGGACTACCAAGAACTAATCCAGCTAGAGGTCAGGGCAGGACTTGAACTTGTTGGAGCCAGCGAATTACAAGTCCAGCACTCTAACAGCTCTGCCGCACTGCCCTCATAACATGTATTTCCCAACATAAAAATTGTACTTCAGGCTAACTTTGGCAAAATAATTTTTGTGCTTTAACAAAGTCTGCAGTGAGCTAAGTAACTACACTTTATAATATTACTATGTTTCAGTTACAGCTCGTAGAATATTCAAAGAGTTTCCAGAGGCAAAACAAGTTGACAAGGAGACACCTTATAATGAAAGACGAAAAATGGGACATTTCTCTTGGACTATAAGCAAGTCATTAAACAAACTCATTGTGAATTTTTACGTGGTGCATAAAGTATGTATTTTTAATTACTAAAAATTTATACTTTTAACAAAGACACCATCAGCTATACGTTCAATGAAAAGAACCCTCAGGATTTGTAATATTATAAGCAAACTATAAATACATGCAGTCAAACCTTCCATAAGGTACAGGGTTCTCTGTTAGCGGCTGGTGAAAATCACCTTCTAGTCATCATAGAAGCACCGGTCACTAGCAGAATTTTTGAGTTGTATTTGTTTCTTCATTCATTTTTTTTGGTCGCTAAAACCAAACATGATAATAAAGCAGATGAGAGTAAAAGGTGGTCATTCAAAATGCACTGAAATGCTCTTTTCCGGGCCCCCAAATTAAAATGTTCCAGTGGGAAACTCCCAGACTCCCCCTAAAGTGAAAGGGGGTGACCAATCCTACACCTACCTCCACATGTGGCTGCACCGCGGGAAACATGCTGTGTGCCTTTCGATCTGATTTAGTACTGCGTACTTGATTTTTTTCTCCTTCTACCGTAAGTTTTTTGGAGAACCCTGATAAGCTAAGGGACCACCCAAAATGTCAAGGATTGGTAGGCAGTTGGTGGGTGTCAAGAAAACCTGGATTGGATCAACCCCTGTAAGATACTAAATGACAATAGGTTAGAGATAGGGTTATGGCAGGAGCTGATCTAATCAAGGTTATGTGGATACTGGGCTTTGGTGGTCGTTTACAAGAGTCATGGACCAGCAGGGTGTCTCTATCAGTGAGACATGTCTGACACATATATTTAATACTCATTCGGAGACAGTTTATGATATAAAATTTCTGAGTAACAAGATAAGCATTAGTAAATTCGTATACTCAATTCACACGTATAGTTCATACCGAGAATGAAGGAGAATCAGAAATAAAACAAACAAGCCTCGCCGCTGATCTCCATTTGAACTTTATTATTATACATCAGACTCACTATGAAAAATCTGATTGGTCGAGAGCATTCAATCAATTCACAATAGCTTGTGAACTTGACGAAATATTGCATTTATCATGTCAGGTACACAGGTATGTGCCCCATGAGTCAGGACTAATGAGGAAATATCTAAGGGTACTTTTCATTTACATGGAAAACCAGAAATTCCGGTCTGAAAATCAAATGGTTCATGCGATTCCGTTTGGGAAGCTTCAGAAAATATGGGCTCTGATTTGGAGCGAATCAACTTTTCAGCTCTTTTTAGCCAGCTGTTCAGCTGATGTTGATATACTCTGTGGTGGTTCGTTCTCCTACTCGTCAAATTTTATAGTTTTATGTTTATGCACAAGATTTCCACCCGGCTGGTTTTTTGTAAATGGTATTAAAGCACCCCTAATCTCCATTGCTCCGTGTTTTATGGTCTGTATTTAAAGTTGTATTTAGATTTGAAGCTTTTGAAAGTGCCTTTTGTTTGTTCCCTTCCATAGATGCAAAGTGTTGACACAGAGCTTGATGCTGATGTTTTGTTTAACGTCTCAATTTTCTTATTTTTTTTTTCTATTTTCTCCAGTGGAAACGCTTATCTCAAAGACAGGCATCAACAATGATCAACTTTGATGCCCTCAGCAATGGGTTACGAAGATTCTCATCTTTATTGTCTAAAACACTCAAGAAAAATGGACGGCAACCTAACAGTTTATTGATTGGGACATATGCACCATATAGAGTGAACTCTGAAAAATGTAAGTTGTTTTACTTTTCAGTACACGGTATAAATCAGCTGTGTTTTAAAGCGGAACCCGGAACGTCCTTAGAACGAAGACCTCGGTACAATGAACATTGCTGGTCGCTAGTTGGAGTAAAATATATGGGACAAGATCTCGATGTAGCGTGTAGCTTTGACTCGAGGCCCTGAAGGAATATTTAAGACAGCAGAATTAAACCACAAAACATGCGTTCAATAAAACCACTGGTAAATGGATGGGTTTTAAGCAGGATAATTTGTTCAGAGGAGCATGTTTCACCAATGTTTCGGACTTTGCCTACTGCAGACTTCATAAGTTACGAAGTTCACAAAAGTTTGCCAAACTATTTGAACGACACTTGTATGAGCCTAAGCTTGCATTTTGTACATGTGAATGAAACTCGTTTAGATGCTCATGGCCTACTTTTCTCTCTCTCTCTTTTAGTCACAAAAATTTTATCAGATGATATGGAGCATCCTGTCAGAATCTTTACCAACGTCAGAAAACTGGACGCAAAAACCTCGAAATAAATAAATGGACCTTAAATGTAGCCTACTGGGAGGATCGGGAAAAATCAGCTATTTGTGTTAGTTATTATGGTTAAAACATCGTTCAATTGTGTTTGAGACTTTCGTCTCATATTGAATTGATTAAGAACTTTCATGGAGAACGTACGTCAACCACATTGCTTGTGTCAATTGAAACTAATAGGTGAACATGTTATTATTACCTCCATGTCGCCTGCAACTCTTATTTCTTTATTTGTCTAATTCGTTGATTGTCAGTCACGATTGTACAGCCATGGTCTTCATAACAACTACAACAATTCAATTTTGGGCCACGTAAACGCTAACGGGAAAAATTCTACCATGGTTTTGGGCATTTTAAACCTCCTAAAACAATGACGTGTCTACACTAAACAATGACATTTTCAAAAGGTCCTGTTTACATGGAGGTAGGGGACCCTAGGAAGGTGAGGTAACCGTTCAGGTGTCCATATAATCTCTCATTTTAATTTGATCACGTTTACATGGTAGGTGGGTTGACCCGCCGCATTTTACCCTACCTATCTGGGGTCCCCCACCTCCATGTAAACAGGCCCTTAGACTATGTCAGCTAATATATCTCGGATTGTTTATCATGTCGACATGAACAGCCGTCCGGTTAGTATCCATGGTATGAAAACTGTTTACACTGCAGTGGCAGACCAGGGGAGTGGCCCGGGGTCCCGCCCCTCTCTTATCTCAGGGTCTCGATGGGTCCCGCCCTCTCTTATCTCAGTCTGGATGAACGCACCCCCCCGATATGTGGCGATCCACTTTCAAGATCAACGCGACCCAGCTTGGCTCCGTTACAGAACCTGGACCGAAATTACTGTGTGAAGAGAAGCCTTATGAAGCCTTATCCGATATGGTTTTCGAGCCAGTGCAAAAGCTATCCTTTATTATGTATAGATGTTGTGGTTCAGTTTTATCCTTGGTTTAATTGGGTATGGTGATATAGGATAATGAGTCTGAAACAATGGAAAATAACATTTAAACCAAGCATAAAATTGAACCACAACATAGACATAGCCTAAGGGAAAATCTCTTAATGAAGTTGATTTTTGATAATGGAAATTTGAACTTCGATGATAATGATTTTTCGGTTCCTCAATCTTAGCACGGCTCTTCAGATAATTTCCTGTAAGTTGGCTTTTTTTCTGATATAGGGTTTTCATGAATTCTAGAAATCAAATGGAAGATCGAAGCGCCTCTGCTCGTAGGATACGTGAGCTGCAATTTTTGGGAAACAAGAGAGAGGTTCAATTGACCACTCCAGAAAATACCATAACATACCATAATGCTCTTTGTTTGTCACCCCAAAATTTACGTGAGTCGTCAGTTTCTCTTGGGAGTTAAAATGGCCCCAGGAGAAACTGAAAACAATGCTTATGCAAACTTTTGGGGTGACAAACAAAGAACATTATGGTATGTTATGGTATTTTTGTGTCCCTCAATAGAGAGGAGATGTGTGACGTCACGTTACCATGGTAGCACTATTTCTATCACAACTTTGCACGTGCGTCACGCTATTTTGTACATTTCTTTGCCGTCGTTGCACCACTACGATATGAAACTTCCTACTTTGAAAAGCCCTCTTTATGGAGTAGGTGAACACATACAAAAATTGTCGCTTTCTTTTTCTTAACTTAGATAACGATAGATACGGTCGGAAAGAAAATTTCGTAAAGATTTGACAAATTAAATCAAATTGAAGATCGGTGAAGATTAAAATAGTGCGAATAGACTTTTAAGTGACCTTTTCGGTTTGTTGTCATCCAAAATTTTTGCCACCATGGCAACGTGACGTAAGGACTTCTCCTCTTTATTGGCCAAACACTAAGTTTGTAAGTCCCTTCCTAAATAAGGCTACATGATTGCTCAACACACCTCATCCAGTTAACACTTCCTGTTATATAAAAAGATTCATACGTAAGTGAAAAAGAATCATAAATTGGATATTGGAGCAGTGTGTCTGCGGTACATGTACAAGATTGGACACTCCAGAGCAGATACAACTCTGAAACTGTAAAGAATTCCTTACAAGTGAGAGGAACCTACCCAGGTAAAAACCTTATAAGGCTGGCAGATTAAACTCAAACTTTTCATGTGCCGAATATAATCGTTAGATTTGGTATATTAAGAGATCGGGCCTTGGCCGGTTGGTAGCGAGGTATTTGTTTATCCTGTTATGAGGAATTCTGCTCATTAGTGGTTTAATAGCTGGTAAAGATGGCTTTATTAATATCAGTGCGGTCGCATATTTTTCCGCAAAAGTTTCAGCTAAATGTCCCTCTAATCACTGCAGGAAATCAATCTTTTCTTTGCGCATTCAAGTGTTTGTTTTTTTGAGGACTCTATTAGTCGTCATTTGTTTTACTGTTCATCATTCTGTATTTATTTTTTTAGAGCCAAGATTTTTATCAGGTGTATAGTTGCGCCATGCTTTCCGTTTTAGTTCAGGTATTGATACGAAAGATTCTTGCTGTGTAAAAGTTAACTGTTTAAATGAAACAAAGAGAAGAAAACGATTTGGGTTCGTGAATTATTTAGATGGCTTCTTAAGTCTATCACCAGCCACTGTTTGTATAAGACCACTTCTCCTTAAGTAACAAAACATAGTAAAGTGGAACCTCGATATAACGAAGGGCCAAGCGGTCTGGCAAAATATGTTCGGTATGAATGAGTCTTCGTTTTATCAAGGTTATTTTCCATATATTTACTATTACTGATTACTGGGGCGTAGGATATCGTTCTACTGACTTTATACCGAGGACTTCGCCATAAGGAGACTCGTTATATCAAGGTCTTACTGTTTCGTGAACTGATTATTTTGGGATGAATTTGAGTTCAAGAAATTCTGCTTGTTGGATTGATTACTATTTATAAGGCTCGACTATAGTAGCAACTTTTTTTAACTGTTCTAGTTCCATCACTGGAATCCCAGTGCGCTGTTTACATTCGTAGCAATAGACATAACACGCCTTACGCGCTGTAGGGAACCTGATGGTTGACAAGTGCCTTTTGTTATGTAACTTATATATTTTGTTACTGTGGTAACTGAGTATATGAGTATAATGCGTCCAGGAGGAGCTGCTGATACAGCAAATTCTGGTGAAGTCATCTTCTCTAGTCGGTTTTCAAAAATTACATAATATAGTTGTATTTTTGAGAGAGAGTTGCTTCCCAAGGTGTAGTGTGAAGTGATGGCCACTTGCAGTAGGAAGCCACGACGACTCATCACCAAACTGAGGGCTGTATTAACACTTACATCTTCCTTGTTCTAATTTTTTCTGACCTTCGTTATTGCGCAGCTACTTGTGACGGAAGTTCATTGTCCGTTGCTTTTTGTTTTTCTCACAATGTTTTTTTCCTCCCGTCTAGCTTCTTCATGTACTTGGCTCTTACTAATATAACTTCCATTTATTACTTGTTCGGCTTCCACTACCTCTTACTATCATGAACACACCAGTATGTCCGTTTCTTCGTGGTTAATAGAATCTATATTGCAAAGGAACTTTACCATGCTGCAATTACATCACATAAGTTTTGACACCTTTAAGGAAAACTTACCTTAATCCATGTCGCTGGAAAAACAGTTTCCGACTGCAATAAAAGTAAACAAAGATTCCGAAACCATGACTGATGGTTTAACGACAGATTATTTGTCAACTTGGAGGACAAAATTTCCCAGCAGTAAAGTTTCAGATTTGCGCAAAATCACACCCGGAATTTACTCTGTGGGACAATGATAAGTTCTATTTGTTTGAAAACTTAATAACTTTATACTGAACTAAGTCGATATTTTAAGTCAATAATCAGACACTGTCTACAGCCAATGTAGAGTTAAGGGCTATAATGCGTAAGATTGTGCGTGGGAAAATAAAAACAGTTGACTTCCTACATACTAGGACTTCCTAGCTAAATGTCCTTCAAGGTCAAGAACTCGTTGATTAATAGATAGTTACCAATATTTAGGAAGTTAGAAGTTTTCAGAACCTAAAAAGCTTTCTACACAAAAATGACGCATTTAGTCTTGTGACAGTACGAGCAATGACTTGCTATTGAAAGCTAATTATAACTGTGATTTAAAAAATGAATATTGTTATTTAGACATTTCCGCGTCTGCTACCTTGTTTAACCCTAAGGGTGGGTTTCCACTGTCACGTAATTTTTACTTGCGTGTACACGCACGTAAATTTTACTCGTTGATTTTCGCTCAACTTCACGTTTAAGCTCAACACTTTGTATCTTGCCTCTCTTTTATTTACGTGAATAAATTTTACGCGCATGTACACGCACGTAAAAATTACTCGACAGTAGATCGAAATGCACCCTAAGGGGCTGATTACATGAACCGGGCAGGCTCGCTTTGCCAAGAACTCGGCGCGTTAGTTAAACGCAACAAAAATCAACTTTGTGATTACATGACAAACGAGCCAGTCCTGTTAGTTGGGATTATACCGAGATCCCGGCCAACTGGGCTGGAAATGTTCCATGTAATCACGCTCGCCGGGCCAGCCCGGGGAACCAAACCAGCAAAAGGAGAGCGGATAACACAATGCGCATGCGCACTGTTTCCAATCTCTTTGTAAACATGACGTTTCTTCATGTAACACCAGGATAGCTCCAGCACGGAAAAGCGAGCCAGCCTGGCAACCGGGCCAGCCCGGCTCATTTAATCAGCACCTAATAACAGTTAATCTCTTCTCCCTAGTACAGGTGTGAAAGGTTTTTTATCTTTCAAATCCGTGATGTGAGAATCGCTGGGTGGCGCTGCGCCTGACAATGGACCTCTGGTCCTAAGGATCTGGGAAGAGAAACATTCTTTAAGTTTAGTCTCCAAAAGAGAATGCTCTTTCCTTCTTTATGTGTAGATTCTGGAAGAACTTTATCATGTGAACGCGCGGCTAAGTACATTAGTTTGGGCCACTCAGGTTTTTGTGCGCGTTAGGGGCTATTACGGACGTAATTGCCCTGAATGTTTCTGTCAAGTCAAATACACTGTACTTCCCAGGCGGCAAATTTTTCTTCGGAAACAGGTGTTTCACTGAGTAAAGGCATCTTCAGAAAATTAATGTCTCCACAACAAGTTCTTCCTAGCTTAGCCAGATCCTAAGCGGGATTAATAAGGAAGAAACTCTCTTTTTTTTCTACAGGATCGTTCAGACACTGAAATGGCCAGATTGCCAAACCGGCCTCCCTCCGTTTGCGCACTGTTACCCCAAGAACTCTCATACGAAACAGTTGATGTTGACAAAGTTTACATCCCAACTAATGCGCTTTTGATCGCCGAAAACGAGTCGATATTTCTTGCGATCGCAAGCATTTTGAAAGATCGAAAGGCTGTGCTGATTGGAGGGGCCGGGTATATCTACTTCGGAAAAATCAATTCCCGGCTTGTGTTTTTACTCAAAGCTCGAGGCGAGCCATCTGCAGTTGTCCAGGCCATCAAATCACTCAAACCAAAAGCTGGAATCTTTCTCGGGTTCGGGAAATGTCCTCATAACAGGCCGTACGATATCGGGGACGTGATTGTGGCAGAAGCGATAGCTCGAAAGAACCCCAAACTTGGAAAACTTGAAAGCCTAACGTGCAGTGAATGTTTGATCAACGTGTTCGAAAATGGCAAATATGGCTGGACACCGCCCAAGTACCGCAAACAAGCTGTCCATGTTGGCAAAGTATTTCAGATGGGAGATTTTACAAAGAATGAGAAAACCAGTGCAGTAGCTGTGAAAACTTCGAGGTTAGGTCAGTATAGTGCTCACAAACCTAGACTTTAACATAAAAGGCATCGCTCACTAACTTGCGCACTATTCGAGAATGAAAAAAGAAACTAACAGACTGTGACGATATAAGAAACATTTAATAATTTATCGGAACACCAGTAGAAAATGGCAAATTGTTACGAACTTTAATTTTTTACGGTTGACTTTTTTGCGACTGAAAGTTAAATTTTGGAGGTTTAACTGCCACAGATTCCCTATTGAAGACCATCGTGAAGGATCTAATTTCTGTTTTATGTCATTTCTTTACTGTTTACGTACGTATCACAGTCGACAAAACATTACAGTCATTACATTGGCGGGGCAAACAATCCCTCAATCAACAGACCTTGTCGGTGTGCTATTGCAATGTTACAATCTACGCCTATATCAATACCCTTTTCGAGGAACAACAACAACAACAACAATCGCTAATCATAATAGACCAGGCTAATGAAAGTTTTTAGCGCCGGGTTCAGCTGGAATATTTCGGTTTTATTACGTTCGTTGACAATTTTGTTACTTAAGGTTTATGGAATTTTTAAAGAAGCTGTGAACCCCATAAAATGGAAGCGTGAAGATGATGCAAAATAGCTGCATTTATAAAGCTGACATGTTCTTTTCGCAGATATACTTGAATGTTGCGAAGTCCTGGGAAAAGAATGGATCTCAATTGTAGGCGTGATTGGCACTCAGCTTTACCATGGAAACTCTACTTGGAAGCAATACGTAGCAGCGGTCTTGAGCTCACTGGTGAATAAGGTGCTACAGGATGACCAAGTGTTTGCAATCTTAGGAGGAGAGGGTGGGGAGCCCAGACGACACAGTCCCCTCCCTGGAAACCCTCTGCAAGAAACAGTTTCTCTTAAAAGTAAGCTGGGATCATTAAATGGGTGTCAGCTCAACCTCTTTCCCAGGGTCTGGTTGCTGCTACTCTCCCTTTTTTCCAACCTCTTTTTTATGATTTGTTTAACTTGTCCCCTGGGTATTTGCGATAAGTAATTACTAAGGAAGAGTTTGATAGATGTTGAACTCACGGTCGTATTAGCTGTTCTCGTAAATATCGTCCTTCTGAAATTAATGCCTTCCGCTTTTGGAAGGCTACGAATCAACGTTCAGCAAAGTTAGTTGATAGTGATTTCTTGAAAACAAATGGCAGAAAACAATTTCGTTTTTGAGTCATAAGGACTTTAAAGCAGATGGCACTGTTGCTACGTTTGTAGTTATTCCAGGTAAACTTGTTTAAAATGAAGGTGTGTGAATTATTTTCTTAGAAAGACTGACTGAAATTGATCGGGTATTAATTGATGGCATTATTGTACTGTCGACTAGTTAACAGTGTGCGTGTTGGTTAATCAAAGCAGTATTATCAGACACTTAAAATACCACTTTCCATCTTTTTAAAGCATTTCAGCTGACGGGTTCAGACTTGTCCCTCCAGGAGGGGTTGATCCGGAGACAAGCAGAGATGCACTGGGCACAAGTGAAAGATGCATATGATAAAGGTTTCTTCCATCTACCAGGTCAACACAAAACCCAGTCAGACATCTTGCTGCAAGAGGAGTTCAGTATAACACCAACTGTTAAATCACCAGTGGAAAATAGCGAAGAATTAACTGACAAGGCTAATAGCTTATTGGCCTTATGGGTACGTGAGCAAGCATCAAACGACGTCTCGGCAGATGGGAAACCTACAGGTCTTGAAACAGGAAGTCGAGCTCTCTTTAGGGAACTGAATCGCTTCACTCTACCACCGCTCCGCTCTTTGTCTGCTGGGAATCGTAGGACATCTCCCCAGGATAACCTGACGAGCCATGTGCAAACTTGTCCTATGCTGACCTCCAGTATGGCTGTTACCATGCAAGCTGCACTGCTTCCAATAAGCGCCACCCTACAGACACACGGCAGCTGCCTGGAAATAATCAGGATCAAGAATGAGGAGAGGGCAACGGTGAGCAGACAAGGAGTAGTTCTCCCTCCCATAACCCGGCAGAAGAAAAGGGTGTGATGTGTAGTATTTGCGAGTAAACGTTCCGGTGACTTCTAAAGTAACGGTTGTAGCGAACTGACTAGTTCAATAAAATTGACAAGTGACTTTTCAAAGTCACTTGTCAATGAACTTAAAAGTTCTTGATAAATGTCATAACAGGCCAACCAGAAAACGAGTATAGTACAATGGCTCAGTTAGTTAGAAATTAATCCAGTCGACGTTTAAATTCCTGAATTGCCACCATGTGCAAGCGGGGGTTATGCTGATTTATCCTTTAACTCACAGAGACAGTTATGTTCTAGACATTAGTATCTGTATTTGCACTTTTCCTCCACTTCGTATTAATTATAACAATTAATTTTATAACAATGTAAGAAATAAATGGAAAAGGGTGAGACATACCGTAAATGTGTGTAAGCTAATCATAGCAATATCATTCCGGTAAGACCATCAAGAGAAGATGTCCTATCCTCTCCAAGTAACATCCAACAAGTGTTGGACAAGGTCATAGCTTTTATATTTATTCCATGGGCGGATCCAGGTATTTTAGTTCAGAGGGCTTCGACTTGTACTCCTAGGTAAAGCCAATAATTTTAATCCTTCCACGCCGTTGCACATTGATCTCCACTTCGTAGACCTATGCCGTCTAGCCTGAGTATCAGGCCTTTCCAAGGGGCTAGGGCAGAGGAGATTTCAGCTCTCTCCCTCTTTCGCTTCCATCTTTCCCCTTTTCCCCAGAAACGCCTAATACTCAGGCTATATGCCGTCATGATACGCGCAGTAATGTGACGTTCTACTCGTTACGAAACGAGCTTTGAAGCAATCGTCTCTTTCTTTTAAGGGGTAAAATAACTTTTTTTAAATATTAAACTTCATAGTTTAAAAGCAACAGGAAACGCACGTTCTATTTTTAGGCTACGGAATTAAAGCCGTAAGCGACCGTTTGGTGATATTTCGGGGGTTATTTTAATTTTATAGCAGTAAGCTAAGTACTTTGAAACGTCTTCGGTCCCTCCGACCCTCCCCTTGGAGAACTGGATTCAGGGGCCAGACGCATAAATCTAACGTCAGACGGAACTGCGTTTGTCTGGCGTTAAAATAAAGAGTTTGAATTGGCCGAACGTCAGATGGAACTGCTGACGTCTGGCTTTAAAATAAAGGGTTTGAATGGGCTGAACGTCAGATGGAGTGCTGAATTCTGGCATTGAAATAAAGAGTTTGAGTGGGCTGAATGCCGGGAACTGCTAACGTCTGGCGTTAAAATGAAGAGTTTGACTAAGATGATGATGTCGCTGGGAACGTGTTAAAACAAACAGTTTGGATGGGATGAACGTCAGATGTTTGCTGTTACGTGGGACGTTAAGATTTATGCATTAAAGGCGTACTTCGAGTGGGATAACTATGTTGCTTAGATACAGAAGACATGGAGGCATGTAATATCATAGCTGTTGCTTTTGTCTCCAGTGTGGATGAATTTGTATGAAGTGATCGCGCATTCAAGTGAAACTTTTTCTGCAATGGGGGACAAAAGTGTTGGGACCTTTTTCCTAGTAATATTAGTAAAATTGGCGACCTCACCCCTCCTACCCAAACAAAATTAACTTTTGAGCAAAGTGGATATTTAGGGCGCAAAATTGCTGGGGCAGTTGAAGATGAAGGGATGAACCCAAAGCCCTTCAAAAAATTGTCATTAGGAGCACAGTGGTAAGTAACAATTATCAGGGAAGGATTTTTCCAGCTGTCCCAAGTTCTTTTGACTTGCATTATATACAGTGGGTTTCACACGACACCATTTCTTAGGATTTTACAAAGTGAGATGTCTTGAACTCTGATTTTGGCAACTAGAGGAAAAGCTGAGATGAAAAAGCTAAGTGGGTAAGGGGTTTACGACTAAAAGTGATATTACCTGTTTAATGAGGGTTTTTTTATTATTTGCGATGTTTTAAATTTGTCATAGACCCTTAACTACCTTCTGTTTCATTTGCGAGCGATTTGTCAGGGTCTGATTTTAAGGCTCCAATAATTCCACTCATCCCAGTACTTGTCTAATTTCGAGTCGTCATCCTTGTAAATTGCTTGAATAAATAGTAATATAGTAGTAATATAGTAATTATAGTTTATTAAAACTTTCTTGCAGTACAAGAAACTGAATTAACGGGTTAAATTACATTGTACTACAATAAAAATCAATCATACTAGTCAAAATATCGAAATGTAAAAACTGAGTTTTCTGCCCTCTTTAACAGACTCAATAAACAAATATCATCTGTTTGCGCTCTTCCTTAAATTGTACTCGGGCCGATTAAAGAGTGGCCTTGGCAATAAGAACTGTAAAGGATGGTAAAGAACTGTAAAGGATGCCATGCACAGACAGCATGCTAATACATGTCTTACTGTACTTAGATAAACCTTAAGAATGTTATCTTGGGCCACACCAGCCCTACATAATATCCTAAGAGAGTATAACTTCTTACTGGCTTTCTTGACGATGAAATCTATACGTGGGTGATTCCATTCAAGTTCATTTGAGTTTCAACCCGGCTGATCAGTTTGGTTACTTGAAAGGAAAAATCTACCCTTGCACAGCTTGTAAGTTACTCATCACCACGATTGGTACTTATCAACATGCCTAAAGCGGGGTTCGATTGATATATAGAGGATATTACACGGTGGCGCGAAGATAGACAAAAAGACATCGATAAAAAAAGGGGTGTAATCATTTATGAATGGCAAGGGGATGCTGATCTGATTTTCAAAATTTTCCAAATTCCCAACACTCGCTAAATTAATAAAGAAGCGATCTAGGTTTCCTGAAAGATTAAGTTTGGGTAGTGAAAGGAATTTTGTTTTCTTTCTCCTCCCTGCCCTTTTTTTTAACTCCTTTCTAGTCCACAATGCTTTGCAAAACAATGAGCAAACTCATGATAATTATAATAATAATAATAATAATAATAATAATAATAATTTTTTTAAATTTGTTTAAATTTTTTTTGTTTCAATTTTTTTTAAAATGAACACTAGTGAGCAGCACAAACCAATGCAAGGATCTTGTTTACTTGATTTATTTCTCCTACCGGTTTCATCTGATCACACAGACTTCATCATGGAGTATAACAAGATAGCTAGAGCTAAGGAACTATTAATTAAGACAAAATCACGTTCCCGTAAGGGTGAACAGCAAAAAACATCCACAAAATATGCATGCAGAATATCACTATAATCCTGCGTTACAAAATATGCAATGTTTAATTTTGGGGCTCACAGATTTAACATTAAAAATTTGAAAACTTAAAGAAAAAATTATAATAATAGCGTCCTTTGTTTATCCCAAGAGGAAACAGTGCTAGTGGGACCAAGCAAAATTCAAATCAAATATAATCGGGTTAAGAATCCCAACTGGCTGGGGCAAACCAGCTGGCTATTTACGAGCGTAACCAAGGACTTGAACATGGGACTACCAAGAACAAATCCAGGTAGCAGTCAGGGCAGGACTTGAACTTGTTGGGGTCACCGAATTACAAGTGCAGCACTCTAATCGCTCAGCCACACTGCCCCCATAACGTGAATTTCCCAACATAAAAATTGTATTGCAGGCTAACTTTGGCAAAATAATTTTACGTGCCTTAACAAAGTCTGTAGGGAGCTAATTAATTACACTGTATAATATTACTATGTTTCAGTTACAGCTCGCAGAATATTCAAAGAGTTTCCAGAGGCAAAACAAGTTGACAAGGAGACACCTTATAATGAAAGACGAAAAATGGGACATTTAATACTCTTGGACTATAAGCAAGTCATTAAACAAACTCATTGTGAATTTTTACGTGGTACATAAAGTATGTATTTTTAATTACTAAAAATTTATACTTTTAATAAAGACACCATCAGCTATACGTTCAATGAAAAGAACCCTCAGGATTTGTAATAAGCAAACTATACAGGTATGCAGTCAAACCTTCCATAAGGTACACGGTTCTTCTGTAAGCGGCAGGTGAAAATCGCCTTCTAGTCACCATAGAAGCACCGGTCACTAGCAGAATTTTTGCGTTGTATTTGTTTGTTCATTCATTTTTTTTGGTCGCTAAAACCAAACGTGATAATAAAGCAGATGAGAGTGAAAGGTGGTCATTCAAAATGCACTGAAATGCTCTTTTCTGGGCCCCCAAATTAAAATGTTCCAAGGGGAAAACTCCCAGACTCCCCCCACAGTGGAAGGGGGTGACCAATCCTATACCTACCCCCACACGTGGCTGCACCGCGGGAAACATGCTGTGTGCCTTTCGATCTGATTTAGTACCGTGTACTTGATTTTTTCTCCCTCTACTGTACGTTTTTGGAGAACCCTGATAAGCTCTTAAAGGGACCACCCAAAATGTCAAGGATTGGTAGGCAGTTGGTGGGCTTCAAGAAAACCTGGATTGGATCAACCCCTGTAAGATACTAAATGACAATAGGTTAGAGATAGGGTTATGGCAGGAGTTGATCTAATCAAGGTTATGTGGATACTGGGCTTTGGTGGTCGTTTACAAGGGTCATCCACCAGCAGGGTGTCTCTATCAGTGAAACATGTCTGATACTCATTCGGAGACAGTTTACGGTATAAAATTTCTGAGTAAAAAGATAAGCATTGGCAAATTCGTATACTCAATTCACATGTATAGTTCATACCGAGAATGACGGGGAATCAGAAATAAAACAAACAAGCCTCGCTGTCTCCATTTAACATTATTGTTCACCAAAGTGGAGGTTCACGTTATCCAGTTTGCATCATAAGCCACCGCAAGTGGTGGCTTATGGGAGGTTAGCTTAGTGACTAACAGTACCTGACGCACAATGTGCCTGTGATGTGTTTAGGCATATTTATAGGACAACTAGAGTTAGTGGCATGTGTCCCATGAGTCATGACTGACGAGGAAAGGTCTAGGGGTACTTTTCATTTACACGGAAAACCAGAAATTCAGGTCTGAAAATCAAATGGTTCATGCCATTCCGTTTGGGAGGCTTCAGAAAATATGGGCTCTGATTTGAGGCAAATCAACTTTTCAGCTCTTTTTAGCCTCGTCAGCTGATTTTGATATACTTTGTGGTGGTTCGTTCTCCCACTCGTCAAATTGTATAGTTTTATGTTTATGCACAAGATTTCCACCCGGCTGGTTTTTTTGTAAATGTTAAGCAGCCCTAATTTCCATTGCTCCGTGTTTTATGGTCTGTATTTAAAATTTTATTTAGATTTGAAGCTTTTGAAAGTGCCTTTTGTTTGTTCCCCTCCATAGGTGCAAAGTGTTGACACAGACCTTGATGTTGATGTTTTGTTTAACGTCTTAATTTCCTTATTTTTTTCTATTTTCTCCAGTGGAAACGCTTATCTCAAAGACAGGCATCAACAATGATCAACTTTGATGCCCTCAGCAATGGGTTACGAAGATTCTCATCTTTATTGTCTAAAACACTCAAGAAAAATGGACGGCAACCAAACAGTTTATTGATTGGGACGTATGCACCATATAGAGTGAACTCTGAAAAATGTAAGTTGTTTTACTTTTCAGTACACGGTATAAATCCGCTGTGTTTTAAAGCGGAACCCGGAACTTCCTTAAAACAAAGACCTCGTTACAATGAACATTGCTGGTCGCCAGTTGGAGTAAAATATATGGGACAAGATCTTGATGTAGCGTGTAGCTTTGACTCAAGGCCCTGAAGGAATATTTAAGACAGCAGAATTAAACCACAAAACATACGTTCAATAAAACTACTGGTAAATGGATGAGTTTTATGCAGGATAATTTGTTCAGAGGAGCATGTTTCACCAATGTTTCGGACGTTGCTTACTGCAGACTTCATAAGTTACGAAGTTTACAAAAGTTTGCCGAACTATTTGAACGACACTTGCATGAGCCTAAGCTTGCATTTTGTACATGTGAATGAAACTCGTTTAGATGCTCATGGCATTCTTTTCTCTCTCTCTTTTAGTCACAAAAATTTTATCAGATAATATGGAGCATCCTGTCAGAATCTTTACCAACGTCAGAAAAGACGCAAAAACCTCGAAATAAATAAATGGACCTCAAATATGTAGCGTATTGGGAGAATGCGGAAAAATCAGCTATTTGTGTTAGTTATAATGGTTAAAACATCGTTCAATTGTGTTTGAGACTTTCGTCTCATATTGAATTGATTAAAAACTTTCATGGAGAGCGTACGTCAACCACATTGCTTGTGTCAATTGAAACTAATAGGTGAACATGTTATTATTACCTCCATGTCGCCTGCAACTCTTATTGTACAGCCATGGTCTTCATAACAACTACAACAATTCAAGTTTGGGCCACGTAAACGCTAACAGGAAAAATTCTACTATAGTTTTGGGCATTTTAAACCTCCTATTGAAAACAATGACATGTCTACACTAAACAATGACATCTTCAAAAGGTCCTCATGTTTACATGGAGGTAGGGGACCCTAGGAAGGTGAGGTAACCGTTTAGGCGGGGTAACCCGCCTGTCCATATAATCTCTCATTTTAATTTGATCACGTTTACATAGTAGGTGGGTTGACCCGCCGTATTTTACCCTACCTATCTGGGGTCCCCACCTCCATGCAAACAGGCCCTTAGACTATGTCAGCTAATATATCTCGGATAGTTTATCATGTCGACATGAGCAGCCATGCGGTCAGCATCCATGGTATGAAAACTGTTTACACTGCAGTGGCAGACCAGGGGAGTGGCCCGGGGCCCCGCCCCTCTCTTATCTCAGGGTCTCGATGAACGCCGTCCCCCCCCCGTCTATCTGAAGGTCTTTATCCGCCACTGCTACTGCGCCAGAGAGTGGCACAGAAACATATCCGATATGTGGCGATCCACTTTCAAGATCAACGCGACGCAGCTTGGCTCCGTTACGGAACCTGCGCCGAAATCACTGTGTGAAGAGAAGCCTTATGAAGCCTCATCCGATATGGTTTTCGTGCCTGTGTAAAAGCCATCCCGTATTATGTATAGATGTTGTGGTTCAGTTTTATCCTTGGTTTAACTGGGTATGGTAATGTACAATAATGAGTCTGAAACAATGGAAAATAACATTTAAACCAAGCATAAAATTGAACCACAACATAGACATAGCCTAAGGGAAAATCTCTTAATGAAGTTGATTTTTTAAATAATGGAAATTTGAACCTCGTTGATAAAGATTTTTGGGTTCCTCAATCTTAGCACGGCTCTTCAGATAATTTCCTGTAAGT